GTTGTCATTGCTATTGCTGCTGGTTCTCTTCTCACATGCCTATTCACATAGGCTGCTGGCTCATAAGCCACATCCGCATCAGGCTCTTCCCAGTCGTCTATCCAATCCATGGCTGTTTGCCCACTAGCAAGTCTATGCCTAGGAAAGGAGCTCACCTGGGTCTTCCAGGATCACTGCTCCGCTACCACTGAAAGAGTGACTAGGGCGTACACGGTAGAGGTGCAGACCGCTAGTGTCTTTTATGCGCAGAGTCTTATCCTCTTGCTCTTTGAGCCTTGAAGCAGTCAAGTATGGACACACTATATCGGCTGTTGGAGTGGAACCCTGTACAGGTAGGCTCTACTTTTCAGGGGAGGGGGGCGTCAGGCTGTCGAAAAATCCGCGCGGAGAGACAAACCTTAAGCTGAAACCAAGACAAGCTATACTAACCAAGACAATCCACAAAACACCGGCAGGCCGGCGGATTTTTGGTGCGGGCAATGCCTGCAGATTCCAGATCGATGTTAAAGAGGCGATGGCTCTACGTGTTTTGGAAGCAACACCAATGAATCAACGGATCCAAAAGTTACAGGTTTATTCGCAATGCACGGTATGGCATGAGAAGGTGTTCACCCGCCCAAAGCCAGTTTGTATGGTCATTCTTGTTCACATCACTGGGTGGTAGAAGTGCTCTCAAAGGGAGAGTCTGATCCTTTTCCATCTATCCATAGACAGATGAGATGAATTCTGTCTATGACGTTCTCGAACTGAAGTATTGACATGAATGTGCCCATTATAACATGAGCTGATGACTCTTCAGCATGCTGAAGCAACTCTCACGTTAGGTGCAGCGACGGCATGCCGTTTTGACCGTCCCGCTATTTGATGCCGATGTTTGAGATGCTTTCGAAGGTTCAGTACATGTTCTCCATCGCATTCATTCTGAGCTTCGGTGTGCCAGCCGTAGACATTACGGAGCGGTTAGATAAAACCGGCCCAGGCTACTGGATCGCAGATAAGACGGGTTGGAGTTGGGGGATCTCAGATGAGCTCTTTCAGGCCAGGTTGTGTGGTGGCCAGCGGCTTTTGGTAAAGCTTCAGCAAGAGCTTTCTCAAGATTGTTGTTTATTTTTGTTTTTGTGGGAAAGTGCTCACAAACTTGTCACGAAAGGTAGCTTGAGCTACCTGAGTTCTCCTTGCTTTAGCAAAAATGTATTACAATCTGGATTGGGATTGTGCATTGAATTTGGTCCTGTAAGTAATGATTCTGTTCGACGGGGTGGGGGCACGCCGTCATGGACTTCTACCAGGGTTACTTGTGATTGCCTGCTACCTTTCGTTCACCCCCTCCTCTCTCAAGTTTGTCGGAAGAACCTGGACCAGGTTCGGAGATATATCGGAGATATATCGGATCCTGTTTTGACTGAAGGAAGTTGTTCCTTGGAAATTACTGGAGGTCGATGAGTGTTTCTTCAAGAACGAGATGGGTTACTTGGGTCAGAGAACGATAGTGTTTCTGGTGCTGTTTCAGGAATTGGTTGAGCTCAGCTCCAAAGAATCGACACGTCACGTGCGCGGATTCATTTTGTGAAGCCACGTGTACGGATTGGGATCTTGTGTTTTTCACGCATATATTCAGACCCAGTGTGGAGCTACTCCTCGTGGAGTTCTTGCGGCAAGTTGTGCACAGGACAGGGCACTTGATCAGTGGCATATGGAGTGAAAGGATCCCCCGGAACAGATGGAGTATGGATCAACATTATCGCATATTAGAGATAATTCCCTAAGCATCCAAGTACCTTCTCAGAAGGTTATTGGAGACACTATGAGACACTGCTATGTAGGTTTGGAGGGTCCAAGTACCTTCTGAGAAGGTACTTGGATCCCTAGGGATTGACATGCTGCGGAAATGAAGTGGTCCATAGGTCCACGACTGCTGGATCCTCACTTGTGATGGTTCATCCACCTCAGTGCACCGCAGTGTGGTTGTTCAAGTTGCCGCGACCATACCCCCGTCTCGTTGTGATCATCCCAAACGACTTGCAACGGATTGGACCAAATCTATGGTTTGGGTCGGCAACCCCCGGTCGGTTCTGAATGGAAAGAGCTTCCAAAAGGTCCCTGGGTCGCCAGAGATTTTGTCCATCACTCACTCACACGTTCTCATGTTTCTTCTGAATTATTGTCTCCTTCTGAGGTTTGGACATTTGCTCCGCCAACACCGAGGGCAAGAATCTCGAGTTCACTGAGCAGGTCCAACAGATCGCTATCATCATTACCACTCAGGTGGACGTTATCACAGGTACTCTCCCTGCCAATCTAGGGTTTTGCCGAATCATTTGCATGCTGGTCAAAGCTTAAAGACTCTAGAGAACCATGCTCCGTCAACATCTCGACCTGAACTTCCGAAAGGGGCCCACTGGTTGAGACTCTAGCCCGTGAAAACCGTGCCGGGTGCCGGTGGAATCACCGGACACCAGACTTCGACTTCGTCGGCATCCCTTTTGACTGAGAACAGAACCGAGGATCTTCTTAGAAGATCCTTTTTAGATCCCGGAGGGAATCAACGCTACAGAATCAGGTTGATTCTCACTACAGAATCAGGGTCTATGACCCTCTCTGGAATTGTTTACAATAAAATCTTTTTAGACATCACCAGACATATATAACTAGAAACCATGTGTGATCCCGAGGGCTCCAACCAAATCCTCAGGTTCGGTGGTTAGACCCCCCTGGCACCCACCCCAGTCCCATCTTCTCAGGAGGTATGTGGATCCATAGGGTGTGATAGCCCTGAATTGTTTTTCCACAACTGCAAACGGACCTTTGGACCTTGGACATCGGAAATCGTGAAATCGCCCCTCTCATGGTGGTACGGTTTGGTCGACGTCGTCCGTCTGTCTCGATCTCACCCAAAACGGACATGGGACATGTGTCTCAGAAAAGGGGTGGTTGTAAAAGGGGTGTCCTTTGCATGTAATGTTTAAAACAAATGTAAAACGAGAGATTCATCTTCGTCCAAATCATCATCAACAAAACGGGGCACAAACAAGGCATCACGAGCCATCACGGAGCTGTTGCTGATGATGTCCTATCCGAGGTCCTTACCGGGAGACAAAGACATACAACCTACCCAGGAAGTACGTGGATAACCTGCCTAACCCTTTTTGGGGATTGGGGGACATCCCACCAAAATCGAAGTGCTGGGACAGTTCGCTTCGATTTGTCCCACCGAAACTGATAGAGTCAGACTCTCTTGGACCAAAAAAAACAACACATTCACATCTTTCCGCGTCCCCACGTCCTTCAGGCACGCGCCTGCGAAGTGCCCTCCACTGGCGTCGCTCGGTGACGCACGGCCGTGGCTTTGCAACAATGACTGTCTTGAGGCTCCCCCCTCCCTCATAGGAGTGAACGTCTTATATACTTTGGGCTGATTAGTCACCTAGTCGGACGTCGTGCAACTTCTGAGGTTGAAGCTGAGTGTTGCAGTGATGTCTCGCGATTCTGTGGGTTTGGCCTTTTTGAGATGAGTTTGAGACGTGTCTACGAATTCAGAAGATGGTGGTCTCCATGTGTAGGTCCACCATCTCAGCTAATAGGACTTCAGGGATGGATGAAGGTCCATTCTTCACACCGTCTTCATCCATCTCGGATGCTTCAGATCCTTGGGCGTTTGCCATTGAAATCGGTTCTTCACTACCCAGGCCTGGAAGGCCTTGGGACTAGAGGAGCTGGACGAGGCCGGGGTTCTGTTCTCCGACTCGGAAGAGCCGTTCTTTTTTCGCGTGAAAAGCCACATCGGTGAGTTTGGACTGAAGAACTACCAACATTTGCTTCTTCTTGAGGTGATTGTTGTGTTTCTTTTGAGTTGGCGGGATTGTAATTAGATGTATAATTAGTAAGTCAGTATGTTCTCAGGGAACCTTTAGGGAAATAGATGTTTTTGGCGTCCAGGCTCTTTGAGCCAAGCACAGGATGCAAATCTGTGACTCATTCCAATTGTTCCATGCCAATGCGATGGATCCAGTGATGGATCAAAAACCAGGGTATGGCGTGATCATCACTGCTTGCTTGGAATATTGACCGGGCCTACCAGAGATCAACGGCTCGCCTGCACCGTTGTGATTCCGAAGTTCCGAAGGATCCACCAAGTTGGTGCACGGTGAATTGAAGCTTAATGAAAAAAGGAAGCTACTACTGGTAGTATAGCATCTATCTAGTAGCTAGAAGCTTCCTTGGGAATCGTTTCTGGGAATCGGTTCACCTGTTTCCCACAAGGACGGAGGTGTTTGATCCGACGCGTGGCAAAGCCCCGCTTCAAAACAGATGTGGGACACCCAGACGCTCCTCTTCGCTTGATGTTCGAGGTGGTCTTTCGGTGTTCGGAATCAACCCAGGGCTTTTGAGGTAATATCCCATAATATCCCTGGTTGACACCCAAGTACTTTTCCCAACCATTGGATTTGTATAATAAGACATTGTGATAAAGTGCACACAAACGAGTGACCCTGTCAGAGGAATGATTCCAACCTTCCAAAGGTGATTCCATCCTCCCACATTGTTTCCTTTTATGCCTGATGTTGAAGTTTGGCAGAGAATGTCCAATGTCAATATGTGCGTAAGAAGTTGGTAAGTCAAAACGGAGGTCAAGATCAAAACATCTCAAAAGACATTGGCTGAGCCATTTCAGCCGGCGGGCCCCTTGAACACCACCTTTTCAGCTCCTGAACGTCACACCTGTCGGGTGACCTCTCATAACCTCTGGTGGCGGGTCACCAACCGGTGGACCGCGGTCGTGGACCGCGGTCGGGGCGCAGGACTCGAAGGGGCAAAAGCCACATCTCGCTGGGACTCAGAAGGTCGTTTTCATGCTGGAAGATGGTCGTCTTGGCTTGGGGATCCATGGAACTGGGGAAGTCGTTTCAGACCTGTGGATGTGAAAGACCGGCGACTGCACAGAGCAAGGCAAAAACGACTGCACAGAGCAAGGCTTTCACGGAATTTCGAACGTTTGAGACATTTCTTTTTTTCCTTGCCAGGTTGTTGTGTAGATGTCGTCCACATCGCCACGGGATCCTATGGGCATTCAAGTGTGTAAAGCAACAATGCCTTTCTCACCAAACATGCTTCCACACTACACCTCTTTTTTTGTAAGTAGCACAAGTAACACTTTTTTCCTCCTAGGTCCTAGTGCTGGTCATTTTGTGGCTGGATGGTCTTTCTGAAACATTGTGAAACTCACCAGGGCTTAGTGGAACTACTGCGAGAGACAGAGCAGGGGCACGAGAGGCAGAGCCGAGGCAGAGCGTGAAATGCAAAGGAATGGACACAACAACATGCAACAGCTATATAGCAAATGAAGCGTTAGCAATACTTCAACCCTCAAAAAGATGTTGCTCAGTTTGCTGTTCTAGAACATGATTTGCCTGAGACTCCTAACAAATACATCGACGCGAGCGGCGAGCGGAGGCGTTTCTCCAAAACGTTGCTAAGGCACTCATGAACCTGCAGTGGGAACAGATTCAGCTACGCTTGTGATGGGCCTCAGGTCGTTGCTAAGGCCCGTAGACGACTCGGTCCTTCAGGATGTAGACGACTGGGTAGACTGTTAATAGTTGGTCCATGGGTCCGATGCGAATTTTCGCAGGAGTTTTTTCTGAGTTGACTAGTGAATTGACACATACATGGCCATATGGCTTGTTGTTTAGACCCACATCCTCATCCCATGTCGAGAAGCTAGGTCAAACTGTCCGGCTTCGTGGGCCGACCTCGGCCGACCTCGATGGCGCGGTGGTTCGGTCGGCGATGGGGGTTGAGATGGCACATGCGGGGTGGAGGCTTGCGACGAAGAAAAGGGGTTGGCCTCATGAGTCCTTTAAAACTGAAGGGTGTTGGTATTTGCGTTGGTATCCACGGTGTCATGAGACTTGTTTGTTTCGGGTGGTGATCGGATTTGTGAAGCATGCTTGGTAACGACCACTCACGCACATTGTGCAACTCAAGAATATTCAACATGATAGTTGCAGGGGTTGGTCGTTTTCATGTGCAGGCGCCTTCAGTTTTACATGGTTTTGCAGGTCAAGTGGCTAGAAGATGCCAGAATTTGCACAAGAAGCTGTGATGCATTCCTAAACATGGGGTTCAGTTTCCTTGCTCCACCAGTGTACAACACCTCAGAGGCCTTCTTTTGCAATGTTTGGTCATTAGCACCAGCAAAAATATTATTTGGACATATTTGGACTTGCTTTGGTGTCACCATGGCGCCAAGGTTAGAAGGCGGCAGCAAGAGCCTCTCAGGCTTTTTGCTGCAGAAGAGCGTGATTGGCCAAACAACCATGAGATACCACGAGAATCCTCGGTTATTTTGGGGTCATGACACCGGATCAGGTACTCTCAGGTACTCCTGATACCACAGTCTCATACCGTTCCACCGGAGAGAAGAGACTCGTTCTTGTCGTGCTATGCTCGATGGGTTTAATGACGCCAAGGGCAACCGGTTTGCCTTCGGTCGAGCAAATGGTCTGGTCCAACTAGGTACCACATAGAACCACATAGAATCCATCTAAAATACCACTGAATTATATAGAAACATGGTCGAAACCACAGGATTCTCCATGGTCCGGACCGTTGGCCGGGTGGGTAAATGGAATGGTCAACCACTGACTCACCAAAGATATCATGTGCGCTTGTAGAACATACCTGGTCCTCATCATTTGGCCAGGCCATGTGTCCGACCAGGGGCTTCGTTGAACCCCATTATAGACCCTGCCCCTACTTGTTTTGTTGCAACATGTTGCAACTCTTGATGTTTGATGCTGAGCTGGGAGTCCGTATCTCACCCATTCTGATCCCCTGAAGAGGAGCTAGTGTCCATTGACCAGGCTGGTTTTGGTCTCCAGAGCAGCCGGGGGCCTCCTTGAAAGCATGGTTTGGGTGCCTGGCCAGCGAGGTCCGCTGCACTTCTGCTGTGATTGGTTGTTGTTCAGTGCCAGTTGCAGAGCAAACGCCTCAAGCCTATTTTACAATATTTATTCATTTGAGTTATGTATTTGCTGTAATTGAATACTGCACGGAGGACTATTTTAGTCTCCATCAACAGTGGTCACTGCAGCAAAAGTGTTGTATGTCACAAGTACTGTACAATACTGTACCCCTGCCAAACAACAATTTGGTATGTTTCGACAAAAGTATAGACCAGCCGCACTGGGGTTACAGACCACAAAACAACTCTCATGTTTAAAGGGATGCCAATAGAATCTAAGTTGCTCGTTCGTTCGTTGTTCTCCATGTTAAGGGTGAGTACACCGGATGCACATAGGGTTCCCCTGACTACCCCAAGCCTTCGGGTCTTTGCTCGGCCGTGAACATCCTCCTGTTTAACTACATCGAACCTTAAAATCCACCAACACCGCCGGTGGGCCTTCGGACAACTCGTCATCCAGTGGTCCATGATCCATTTCTATGTTTGACTTACATTGGTTTCAGAGGTTCGATGGCACCCGGGCACCCCAAGTTTGGTGGAAAAGTACATGGACCTCCATTTGTCTCAGACATCTGGGCGTGCCATGGAATCTCTGAAAACCACTTGGGGGGGGGGGACACCAGGCTGTGCCTTGATCTTTTACAGTCGCCCTCGCCCGCCGAAACGGCCGGATCCCGGTCCGCTCAAACTCGCCCCGGAAGGGGAAGGGTGACTCCACCGGTCTGTGGAAAAGGGAACGCCACTAGTAGTAAGTGCCACGCTACTAGTAACAAGTGCCACGCTAGTAGTAACACTTGAAGGTTCCCGTGTAAAGTGCACCTCATATGTATAGGCACAGTTCATGAACATTGTACTTTTGGCTCAAGTGATCAAAAGGCCGCAGCCGCTGCCACTTCGCGGACACGGCGGTCTTTACTGTGAGTTGGTTTCTTGGTGTTGTTTGTGTTGGTGTTCCGTTTTCCAACGGTTCAAGTGGTTATCGGCCGTATCGGCCTTTGAGTGTTTTTCGGTTTCTGTTACAACACAACAGCATCATTCATTAGTGTGGTTGCGGGGTCCACAGAAAACCCGCGCATGTCAAGTCGACGTCCTCGAGAGCCCTCCCGTTCGCCTCTCCGTCGTCCGGAGCGGCCTCCTGAACCCCCGGGCCACCGCCAAGAAGGCCACTGCCACCGACGCCTCCTGATCCTCCGAGGCGCGGTATTCGGGCAGGTGCTGCCGCACGGCGACGCAGGGAAGCGTATATTGTCAATTCGGGAGGCGATCGAGCGACGGTTCCGATTGTTCACGCTGGCGGTCAGAGAAGGCCACTTGGAACTTCTAGGTTTTGGGAGCCGAGTGCAAGCGAGGATTCGGGTGAGGAGACTGACGAAGTTGAGATTGTTGCATTTACAGCTGCAGTTGATTTGACTTCGTTGCAGGCTGTGCCGCGTTCAAGGCTCTACAATCCGTACGTCTTCGATCATTCGCCCGGCTCGTCAAGTTTGGCTGCGGCCCCAAGGCCTGCTCCGAGTCGAGCGGATTCGAGTGTTGTTGACACGCCTGCCGGAAATCGGCCTTACGACATCCTCAAGTACTACCACCCGGCGCCTGGAGTCGTTCTTCACCCGTGGTCGCGAGTTGACATTGTTTACAGAGAGGCCTTGACTTTTCCGTCTTCAGCCAAGTTTTACGTGTGGGCGAACGGTGATACGTTGAGGCTGGCTGCAGAAAGGCCGAATCACTGGGGGTCTGATCCGGTGATTGCGTTGGACTACCATCAGGTCCTTGACGTTGACCGGAGTGCCAATCCTCCGGATCGTGTGGATCATATTGGTAATCTGCCTGCGGGCCACGTTGCAGCAGTTCGTCGCTTGCGAAGGGAGATTGAAGAGGTGGGCTTGCGTTGTCGAGTGAAGATCATTGTTTTGTCGCACATTCACGACAGTGTGGTGAACGAGAGGAACTTGATCACTGCAGTACAACAGAGTTCATTGTCGGTTGATTGTGTGATCATCACTCGTGAGAGGACGGGCCCAGGTGGAAAGTTTGAGGTGCTGAGATCGTTGACTCGTGGTCAGGCTGTGATTTTGGACGACAACGTTGAGGTACTGCGTGAGTTCAGTGCAGCGAGCCTCATTGCTATTCAGATTCGCAAGCCTCGGGTCGGAGCGATTTTTGGCGAAGAGCGAAGGTCTTGGAGCTTTTAAGGTCTTGGAGCTTTTCAGCACCTTGGTTGGTGGATCGTTTGGTGACTTTCGTGCATCACCATTCGAATCCAGTTGACGAGGAAGAGTGAAGTTGCATCGAAGCTGCTCCGGTCCGGCTGCTTTGAGCGCCGCGGAGCCTCGTTCGTTAGGCCAGTTCCCGAAAAGAGCCTGTGCCAATTGTGCATTCGTTCCCGCCAAAAAGAAAGAAGGGATTGGGAGAGTTTGAATAGTTGGCCAGTGAACCATGTCAGAAGAGCAATCTTCATCGTTGAATGTCAGTTCAGATTTACTACTGTTGGTGGTTTGGCAGTTGCAGTTCGGAGCAGGTCCCAATCCTCCCATGGTTCCGGAACACCCCAAGAGGGAAGGAGATCAAAACCTCCAAAGAGATCTTTGAGCAGAGTCATCAAAAACATGCCCAAAGGTACTCAGTCCCAGGTTCAAGCAGAGGGGTCATCAGTGGTTGAACCATCCATTCCTGCGCTCACTGACCTTCGGTCTTTGCCTTCGTCCAGTGGGTTGCTTCAGCGGTCGGTTGGTCCATCCGAGTTCCAGGGTACCGGAGAGGAAGATGAAGTCATGCCTAATCAAACTAGCTTGACACAAGAATTGCACCTTCATGACGCCCGGTCTTTTAACACGGTCCAGGTGGCATATGTTGGTATCGATCATGCAGAGTTCGGTCGTGTTGTAGCTGAGTCTCAACGACTGATCGGGGAAGCGGACTCTAGGGCTTCGCACTTCGAAGGTGTCGCTCAACAAGTCTTCCAGGAAGCCACAGCTCACATCGGTTACCTGACATCCCTGGTCGAAGAATTCCGTAGTCAGAATGAAATGCTCCAAACAGGTCACACCGAGAAAGATGTCATGATCACCAGCTTGCATGAAGCGGTCCAAGAGGTAAAGCAAACCCTTGAGAACCAGATCAAATTCAACCAGTCCATGTTTGAGGGTCAACTTCGCAAAGCGAAGGACGAGATCGACCGTTTGTCCGACCTCAACCAAAAGTCCCTCAACCTTTTAGGCCATAAAGATTCAGAAATCCAGCGTCTTTGCCAAGAGTCTTCGTCTCGACAAGATCGCATCTCGTCGCTGGAGGCTCGACTGGCTGCTTCAAGCGCCGCGGTCATCCAGTCGCTTGCGCCTGCTTTCGTTCCGAAGCCTGTGCCTGATGCATCTTCGCCCAAGGACACCGAAGCAGGCAACAGAATGTTGGAGTCGATTATGGAAGCTGTTCAGTCACTCAGTTCCAGAATGTTGACACCAAATCGTGAGCCTCGACCTTTGTTCGATCGTTCGCGTGATGCAGTTGTCCATTCATCCTCATCTCCTGCAGGACCTTCTCGCGGACTTCGTGTTGGCAAAGG